AAACAGGGCAGAAATCCATGAAATCATTGACTAGTGGACTGAGCCATGTCGGTAATTGTAGACTACCTGGTTGGAGTCCGCGAGATGATAATAATCGATGGTTAGAGACCTTGAATGACATGGCTCAAAATCGTTTGCAATGGCGCCGGTGCATTTATTCTTTGTGTTCTCTCAATTCCTAATCTTCTGGATTCTTCAACAGCTCTAGTTTCGACTCTTTAAACTTTTCGCACTGAATCATATTTCTTGAATATCTTCTAACCCTAACCTCTCCGATTACTTCTAATTCCCTTACTACCTCTTCTACTATTGGATTTGAATTGACAATTACATCTCTGTGCTGATGTGGTATGGCGACATGAACTGATGTACTTACGTACGAATTTCTACGTTGCATCTGACTGACTGACGTACGTACGTACACCAATTCAAGTTTTCATTTCACATTAGCACAGAGAGATGCAATTGTCACTTTAAATCCCATAGTAGTATCGGTAGTAAGCTGGATAGCTTGAAAGAAGTTTAAACCAGATATAACTAAATTTAATTACTATACCCTCGTTCGTTCGTCTGTTTTGTCTTGCCATAATATAAATTTTAGAAACTCTAATCAAAAAAATCTTTATACTCTGTCCTACAATCTAAATATATATGTAATCATCAATCGATGAGTTCAGTAAATTCACAGTCATTATATTTTAAACAGTTTTCATGTGTGTATGACGGGGTTGTGAAGATTGTAAAGTTATACATTTTTTGAAACAATCTTCACAACCCCGTAATGCAAATCACCGGTGCTCACTAGTGACTAGCTTCGTGAGGAGGAATCTTCTCCCAGTTCTAGTGGGAAGATGTGACCACTGTGAAGTTCCACCTGTTCGAGTGTAGGCAGTGTCTACCGAAGACTGTGTATGAGGTTGCACAACTCCGTGAATTTGATCAAGTTAGACATTAACACCATTAAACACCTGCTCAGTGGTCTGACGGTTAAGGCGTTCGCGCGCGACACCGAAGGTCGTGGGTTCGAATCCTGCGGGGCGCAGGAGCCGTGGGTACGCACTGCTGAGGAGTCCCATACTAGGACTAAGCGACCGTCCAGTGCTCCCAGGTTTGTAATGGTGGTCTAACATTGATCGATTCATGGTTTCAAAAAAGTGTGTAGATTTCATGTGTATCAATCAGTCTATGGATTAGGTCAAAAACAAGTTTTAAATTTCATTTTCTTTTTCATGTTCATTATTCCAGAATTCCATTGATCTAAATGACAATGAAATGAATGGCAGATCAAGTAGTTTTCAAAATAAAAGTAAGTTCTACTACTACTACTACTACTACTACTACTACTACTACTACTACTACTACTACTACTACTACTACTACTACTACTACTACTACTACTACTACTACTACTACTACTACTACTACTACTACTACTACTACCACTACCACTACTACTACTACTACTACTACTACTACTACTACTACTACTACTACTACTACTACTACTCCTACTACTACTACTACTACTACTACTACTACTACTACTACTACTACTACTACTACTACTACTACTACTACTACTACTACTACTACTACTACTACTACTACTACTACTACTACTACCACTACTACTACTACTACTACTACTACTACTACTACTACTACTACTACTACTACTACTACTACTAATTATAATGATCGTTTAATTTGTACAAGTTTAAATTATCCTCAAAGTAGATTGTTTGTCGAACATTGAGAAAAAATTGTATAATTTTCGTTGTATTAACTTTTTAAGATAACTGAAATAAAAAAATGCTGAAAAGTTACATGTTTATAGTAGAATGGATAGAGTGTGGCTAATATATAAATCAAATCTCATATCCTATTGCAAAAGTAAAATTCATATCTGGAATAAATAAGTAAATGAATAGATAGAGTCATAGAGTTTGAAGTGGGTGGTAATAGGTTCGAGTTCCGTAATGAACACCAACTAGGAAATGTGGAGTCCAGGATAGGATGAAACACACACATATGCAGGATTCCACTGCTAGGCCAAATTCCCTATCTCTTGTAATATCATCCATACCATGACGAATTACTTCGAGATAACAAATGATCGTATATTATGTACTGAAATAAAGATGAGATATTTCACTGGAAAAGATAATATCCTCATCAGATACACTTGTAACTTTAAATATAATCAAATTCACTGGACAGTTTACATGGTATACAAAACATTCCTAATGTGTTCACTTATTATATCGTACCAAACGGTTACAGGATAATTTAGTTGATGATTTTACTCAAAACTATCTGAGATGAACACCCGAAAATATCGTAACAGTGCTCACTAGTGACTAGCTTCGTGAGGAAATTCTCGGAGTTCTAGTTGATAAGACGTGACCAATGGAGTTCAACCCTGTTGGGTGTAGGCAGTAACTACTACCAAAGACAAATGGGTGATATTGCGCAAAGTCCCTAGATCAATCAGAGTTAGACATTAACACTATTAGATACCGGCCCAGTGGTCCGATGGTTAGGCATTCGCGCACAATACCGAAGGTCTCGGGTTCAAATCCTGCGAGGAGCAGGAGTCGTGGATGCGCACTGCCATTGATTAGTCCCATAGTAGGTCAAGACGGCCATCCAGTGCTTTCAAGTTCCAAATGCTGGTCTAACAATGGTTGATAAATTCAAATGTGTAACAAACACAAACGTCCGAATAATGTAATCTAGTCTTCAAACCAAACTGCTGATATTGTATCTCATTTCTAATCACTTGCACTAATCTGTAACCCTCGTTAGAGATCCTAGTAAATAATAGAGTTTATTGAAATTCATAGAGAGGTGTCTCGATGGTCATTTGTCTCATCAAAATTTCTCAATATTTTGTGATTTAATCTTTACTACTTATCAGTAGTCAAACAGATTCACTTAAAAGTTCTAACAAGAAATATTCACGATATTCAATGTACAGGATTTTTTTTCGCTTCCAGGTCATTTATTGAATAAAACTATTGAAAATACAACTACCATTCCAATCAATTTGAATAAAGTCAGCAAAGCTTGGTCAATTATGTGGAATAATGGATTATTTCCAAATCCTGAACAAATTGATTTAAATGTAAATATCACTGAACGTCCTGCATTGAAATGGTGTCTTACTTTAGCTAATATTTGGAGTGATTTATTTCTACGTCGTATTTCAGTATTTGCAATGTCATTATTAGGCGATCTTATTGTACAAGATGACAAATCAGGAAAATTAGCAAAAAATGAACATTTTCATGAATTTCATCAAATTAATGAGCTACTACTACTACAAAATGATTTAAGTAGTATAAAGAAAGTGGAAGAAAAAGACCAAGTGGAAGGAGACGAAGCTGAAGAAAATATCAGTCATACGTCGTTGTTAAATAATGATGTCAATGAACCATTATTAACATGGGATGATATGTTATGGATAGCAAAAGTAAGTTATGCATTGAAAATATGTCATTTATCATTATTTAAGATGACTTATATTTGTAGTCAGACAATTAATTGAATATCATGAAGCAATGAATATATAAATATATTTTATTGATTTGTTCTTATTCTGACTAAACTAAGGTGAACCTTTTCATAAGCTTATAGTTACGTTTTGTTGGGGATGTTAGATACACTCAGAACTCGCTTGATAAATGCCTTATTTTGAATTTCACGTTTGCAAGCATGAGCTGATCAGTTGACCTTGAGATTTCATTTCCCACCAGGAAAATCCTTTGCTGTGATTGGCTGCTGTATATTTTAGTGTGCTATTTTCTTAACTGTCCCAAGGACGTTTCTATGATGTATAAATAAACGAGAGTTGTGTGCTTGATTGTATTGTGGTTACAGGATGTTTGTAGAATATAATTTCTAAGCTTATCAAGTCTTCTGTTTTGCCGTTTTCGAATCAAGGGACGAACGTAACCACTGACGACGGGGATGGTATATTATGTGTACTCAGAAGATGATTGATTTTACAACTATAATAAATGTGAACTATTACTGTCATATCTATGAATATTATTTATTCAACTGTTCTTGTGGTGGTGTTTCGTTCTCTGAGATGGATATTTTGGTTGTGTCAAGCTTTCATTGTTCTCCTGCTAAACGACATCATCATCAGCAGCCCAAAATTCAGATAGATAGAGGTGAAGTATTCGAATTTCTCAACGTTTGACTCATAGCATATTCTGCTGATCATGACTGGTTACTGTTGACCTTAAACCTGTCGTTGTTTGCACCTTTGTTTTGATTGTATCCCCCTTTTGATCTGTTTCTTGATCCTATGTCACCTATGATTTTTCTGATTTGTTGATAAATTGGGTCAATGTCGATGTGTTCGTTGGTTGTTGATTGACCTGAGTGTCAAGCTTCTAAAAAATTTCTAGTGTTCTCTATGCTCCCCCTATCCAGTATTTCCACATTGTTCCAATCGAATGTATGTCCATAATTGTCGGTATGTACTAATATAAGCGAAGCGTTGTCGTGGTGTTTGACTGCTAACTGGTGTTCACGTATACAAACCTGAAGAGGCTGTCCAATTTGTCCTCCATAGTTTTTTTCACAGTTTGAGCAATTTATTTTGTAGATGATATTTGGTTTTTCTTCCTTTGTCATTTTGTCCTTTGGTCTACATAAGATTGATTGAAGTGGCTCTGTTGGTTTGTGTGCAACACCTATTCCAAATGGTTTCAAGAGTCGTGCCGTATGTTCCGATATGTCTTTGATGGTTGATAGGATGATCCGTTTATTGGTTCCTTCTCTTGTAAACAGATCTATAATTGATGTATTAAAAACAGAAATTTAAGTGAACCAAATATTAGTGTGATTATAGTCGTAGGTAAAAGAAGTTCATTGTTATATAACAGTTCAAATATTGCATAAAACCCAAAGTAAACGAACAAAGAATGGTAGAAAGTAACTTTTAAAATTGCTATAAATAGGATACTTGGAAATGATGTCAACAGAATCGATCTTCAGCATAGCCTTAAACTTATAATACCTTCATAAATATTCCTATCATACATAACTGATGTCTGTCTAAGTGTTAGCTTTTCAGTAGTAGATTTGATTTGATGCTGTCAATAATCTTGAATATGTTAGTTAATATGATTGATCGACCGTGGTGAACTATATGTTCCAGAAAAGAAAGATTCTATACTAGTATCATGTTTGCCATATCTAGAAGATGTGTTACTTATAAGCTGAAAGATGTTTTTGTGAATTAAAATGACGGTCTAAATCAACGGTTCAACAACACCTAATGATGGAGGTATACGACAGATCACCCGAAAAGATCTAGATTTATCTACAATATGACCACTATCATCTACCAGGTGTGCTAAGATAGAACTGCATATTGTTTTTGACTGACGCTTCGTAAACTATGCTGGGAGATGTTCACTACTCATAAATTGGGTAAGTTGCCTGGAAGTACGCCCGATATAGCTATCTCAACAGGCGCAGCTGAATTTGTAAATGCACATTGAGGAGGCCAACTCAGGTAACTTATCCTTCGTTTAGGTAGACATCGCTGGTCGACTGGGGAATGTCAATGAAGTTTGGCAGCTTTGAATGTTCTATTAACTACTCTTATCAATCTGTCCTCCAGAGTATCGCAGGTCACATCTCCGTTTAATTGTAATTTCATAAATAAAGGCTTCTTTTGGATGGTCGAAACCACCGACTTCTTTTTTACGGCAGCCATATACTTCTTTATGAATGCGCTGGGATAACCAATCTCGATTAGTGAGTCGTTGATGAATTCCAGCTCCTGACTTAAAGTATCCACTGAACGTATTATATTTGCTCTGCTTGTCAGATATTTAACCAAATTTGTTTTGTAGCGGATAGGTGTAAAACTACAAAAGTGAGTGTATTGGCAAGCAATGGAATTTTTTCGATACATGCTTCTACTTAGTGAACTATCATTTCGCCTACTTAGTGTGATGTCAAGGAAAAACAGTTTTTTATCATATTCTTCTTCACCAATTAACGTGATTGCCTGGTGTACACTGTTGAATTGTTCTAAGAGTTTTTTTCTTTTCTGGTGTCCTGATCTACAATGATGAATGTGTCATCGACATAACGGCAAGATAGATCAAGTTTCTGAATAACTTCGTTGAGTGGTCCATTTTCTATCATATTTTATAAATTTTCCTACTACTATCCGTACACCTATCTTCCTACTATCCACTTGTACTTTTGCCTTTTTCATTTCATTGTGATTATCACAACAGGTTTAGTTAGTTTTTTGTTTTCTCATGTTAATTCACTGCTATTATATATAACCTTTAGATTTTGTATGATAATCCTTCTTTTTTTTTAGAATCGATTCACTGATTGTGTTCCAATCTTATTGATCAATTGTTCATCTTTTATTAATCATGATTCAATCACATCTAAATCAACAAATATAATAAATCATGAAAATACAGAAAAAGATTTCAAAAATTCCAATCATCAACATCATCATCATGATCATTGTTCAACGTTCAATGATGTATTCAATGATCAATGTGAAAAACTATCATTTCAATGTCCAATTGATAATAACAAAGATCAAGATCATTGTTCAATGCCACCGTCACCATCATCTCCATTCACAACAACACCAACGAATAAGAAATATCATTCAAAATTAATTTGTTTTCAATCAGAACCAAATCGTAGTGTACATTATTTAGATTTAACTAAATTAAGTAATGCATTAGGTGATTTAAACAAAAATTGTTCATTATTGACAAATTCTAATCACAGTGACGATAATAATAACAATAATAATAATAGTAATAATAATAATGAACTGAATTATCAACAAATTGCCGCTTATCCAATCTTAAAATATCTTGATGCTTACATAATACAATTAGGTAATTTTTTAGCTTATCATCCTTTGTTATTGAGTACATATATGGCTATAAAATTAACTAATCCAATATTGATTGATAAATCAACTAATAATCCATTGATCATTGAAAATAATTGTACCACACTGCCAGATCAACATCGTTATCAACGTTTAAAACGATTAAATGAATATTTTTTAAATTTATTTCATAAAGCAATTGATTATGTAGCAATGGAATTCACTCAATTGAAATCAATCAATCATAATGAAACAACTGATTATATATTATTACAAGAGAAAATTGCTGCCAATTCACGACGTATCATGTTAGGGGAATTTTTAAATTGGAGTCATGAATTCGATATGACATGGTTAAATTTTCAATATGATACATGGCAACAAGCTTATGATTATAATCGTAAATGTTTATTATTGAATAAGAAAAATACTAATGTAGAATTGAAAATATCTAAAGGATTAAATGCGTTATTTGATAAATCACAAAAATATTATGATAATCATGATGTTAATATTGATAATGATTTGATACATTTATTATGGGATACTAAAAACAATTGAACAATTGAACAATTGAACAGTTGATACAGTGAGATTCACACAAAAAATGTCATCATGCCAAGATTGATCATCCGTCTACTCACTATTGTCCAATCGATTCATGCAGTCAACAGTGTAAGGCAATCACAAATGTGAACACGTTAAAAGTGTTATAACATGAAATAAAGTAAAAGCTTGCCATATTGTACAGATAAATGTATAATAACCTTGAACATATTGATTTGTATCATTTATTCGTCTTTCGTCTTTCTTGTCTGTTCACATTTAGAAAAAAAATTATGTTGCAATTTTTGAACCATTAATTATTATTTTGTCTCAATAATTGGAAAAAACAACAGCCCACAATGACATTTCAATTTTTTTCTGCCTTTTTAATTCGGTTGTATTTTGATTTTGAATTTTGAATGAGCGCGCGCGCGCGCCTGAGTGCGTTTCAAACAAACACACAATGAATAGTGAATATGGTGTGGCGTAGTTAGTTTTTTTCATTCTTTCTTTGTTTGTACGGTGTATTATTTTTTTTCCCCATTTACAGACATTGTTCTTCTCTAGTGAATTGGTTTATGCATTTTCAAAAATATCCGACTATTATTTGTGTTTTTTTTCCTCCTACAATTAACCTTATTATTTATTTGTATCTTGATTACATTTTTTTTTGCTGTTGTACAAAGTTTATAATTTTCGGATCGTTAAAAAAAAAACTCTTCTACCATATAGATTCTGATTTATATCAATCAATTACAGAAAAGAGAGTAAAATAAAAACAGTTACACATCACTTCAATTACTTACTACATCAAGGATAGATACCTTTCGATTATTATTATTTTTCCACTTATCATTCTCATTCACCACTACTCACTCACTCACTCATTCAAAGTGCCTCTTCCATAAATTCAAAATTCTGTGAGCAGTGATCTGCTAATCATCTGTTGTGTGTTCTCCTCCTCTATTTGTATGTAGTGCCTGTTGTATTCATATTGACACCTATTTTTAGTTGTTGCTGTTGTTGTTGTAAACTTGTCGTAAACCATGTCAAGTTGATAAAATTCATGTTATTGATTCGATAAAACAATAAAAATAATAATAATTTAAAGTGCCTTCCTTCTACACTGAATTTTTGTGACTCACTTTTAGTTCATTTTTGAAAAAAATTTTGCATCAACTTTGCATTTTTTCTTATTTTTTGTTTATTTTGTTTAAAAAATCAGCTGTTCAAACTGAATAATTAGTAGTACAGTGATGATTACGATTAAAATAGTATTTATTATTACTACTACTAATACTACTAATTTACTAACAGTAGTAGATACGGTTGTAATAAAAAAAATAATAATAACAATATTCATCAAAACTCGTACTCTGTACTCAAATCATTATTTGTTTTTTCGTTGTAATCTTTGCTTTTTTCCGGAAGAAATTCAGTGTTCGTTTTGTTTTTTTTCTGAAAAACGAAAATTATTTTTTACAAACACTATTATTAGTAATTTTTTGCAAAATTATTGTCAACAAACAAACAGTGTGTTTTGGGTATCGCTCCTTTTTTTTCTAAGAAGAATCAACCATGTTGTTGTTGCCTTATTTTCAAAATAATTCAATCTAGAGTTAGTTAGTTGTGTCTTCCAACTCAAGTTCATTGTGATTGTTTCATGTGTGAGTGTGTGTGTGTGTGAGAGAGAGAGTGTCTGTGTGTCTTCCTTGTACTTATGATGATTCTTTGCCAATGTTAAAATCTGAACAAGTCAAAAAAAATTTTCCCGCCACTCTTGTTTGGAACAACAAGCGATGTTTCATCATTTCAATGTCGCGCCAATTACAAAAAAACTGTTTATTTTTTTTGTGGATAGAACAAAAACAATCAAACCATAAACACACAATTTAATTTTGTATAAAAAATCAATAGAACAAAATGATGTGAAGATAAAAAAATTTAGGGTTTCAGTTCATGATAAAAATGGTTGTTATCAATTTTGAATTTTTCTTTTGTTTATTTCAATAGATATAGATCGATAATGGTACAATGTAAGCCGAACAATTTGTCATTCAACTAGCTAGAACAGATCAAAAGATAGTCAGTTAGTTAGTTAGATAGATAGATAAATAATTTGATTGCTCTACTGAACAACCTCAGCATCAGCATAAACTTCAGATAGAAGACGTGATGTATTCGAATATCTCCATGTGCATGACCTGTAGCTTGTTCTGTTAACATCGATCCACCATATCAAAGATGGATAGATAGACAGACAGTAAGACATTATTAGTTTACTAATATCAAGGCAGCCTAATATAGATATAAACGAACCAAATATTGTTGCGTTCAATTAGATTGTCAACAGGATTTACTCTCTCTGAGTTACATGAATATTTATCATGAAAATGTTAAGTCAATCAATCAAGGTAATTTATTAATATGACTGAAATCATGAATCAGTCATTGTTAGACCACTACTATTCGAAAACGGGGAAGCATTGGAAGTCTATTATGTCCTCGTATGGGACTAGTCAGTAGTAGGCATCCACGACTCGTGCTTTTCGCAGGATTCCAACCTGGGACCTTCAATCTTGTACGTGAACGTATAACTTCTAGGCGATTGAGCAGGCGGCATCCAACGACGTTAATGTCCAACTCTGCTCAATCTAGGGATTATGAGTAAATAATCATAGTACGATGGATTAGGTAACTGCATACAATAGGTAAAAAAGTATAAGGTGTTAGTAGGAGGACATGTGTATTGTTAGTGTTAAGAATGATAGAATACAATAACAAAGGTTTTTATCAATGTTTGAACATTAGTAGTGGTAGTAGCAGTAGTGGTAGTAGTAGTAGTAGTAGTGTTAGTAGTAGTGTAGTGAGTGAGAACACAGGTGAGGCAACCGAATTGTATTTAACGAAAATTACAGAGTTACTCAGTAAAATTGGAAAACCATATCGTTAATTGTTAATTTCCAAAATATCAGTCCATCATCGTATCGAACTGGACTGTTCCTGTTGCAAAACATCAATCCATTGTCATTATTCATGCGTTTAATACACAAATTCCATTGTGTTCTAACTCTTCCTTTCTTGATCTTCCCCTATCTTCTTCTGCCAGACATTACTCTGACACTCACGTCATATACTACTTATAAGTAGCTCGCACCACAGTAGTAGTAGTAGTAGTAGTGTAAGTAGTAGTAGTAGTAGTAGTAGTAGTAGTAGTAGTAGTAGTAGGTGAAACTTGAATAAATAGAGTTAATGTAACCGTCACCAAAGTTTTAGAGTTACGTTTATATCAAGTGTGTAAAATGACTGACTACATACTGACGTATATCAAAGGAAAGTCACGAAAAATTAGCAAATATTTACAGGATACCAAAAATAATACAAATAGTAATAGAATAAAATAATTTATCAACTTATATCAACCCAACGAAAGGACATAGGTGTCACAAATTTCTTACTAAAAAAACTTAAATTGGAGTTGAATGATTGTTACGCATGCACGTAATAAACACTTCAATTTGATATAATTGAATTATTACGAGTTTACCTTAGTCGGAAAACGAAGATCAAGGAGGATCCGACGACACAACGTGCTACTCTAATCCGAGTGTCCAAAACCCACATTAAGTAAAAGAAGAAGAAGACTTGACATGAAGTAGATCATGTATTTATTCTACAAGCATCCAGAAAGTTTGAGGTCCGAGTCCATAGGAGAATGCGGATCCCGGACTAGGAATAATGCGTATTTATACAGACAGGTAAGTCGAATAGGAATCAACATTGAAGTATGTGACATTGACAGTTAGGATGACCACTAGTAATAGACCAATAGAACTAGACTTACAAATAATTCTCTTAGGATACTGGATGAATGTATCCTAACAATGCTGCTATTTCTATCAGTCAGTCAGTCAGTTGCAACGTACAACTTCGTACGTATGTACATAAGTTCATGTTGCCATACCATATTAGCACAGAAACGCAAATGTCAAATCAAATCCCATAGTGATAAAGACAGTAGAGATATTAATGGTTATGAAGAAGACTAGGGTTGGAAGACATTATTCAAGAAGTTTAATTCATTGAGATAAGGTTAGAAAAACAAAGGTAGAGGTGCTGACGAATCCAGAAGATTAGGATTTGAGAGAGCTCAAAGAGTGGATGCACTTGCGCCATTGCAAACGATTTTGAGCCATGTCGTTCAAGGTCTCTAACCATTGATGACTTTGGTCTCGCGAACCCCAACCAGGTAGTCTACATCTACCAACATGACTCAGTCCACTTGTCAGTGACTTCATGGATTTGTGCCATGTTTTGGTCTGGCCGCCCCTAACTTTCTTCCAACCTACTCCTACACCACAAAACATAGCTCGTCGAGGCAGTCGGTGGTTAGGCATACGTAACACATGTCCCAACCACCTCAACTGATGAAGTTTCACCACTTCATCTATTGATCTGCCATCCTTACCTAGTACTCGTTTCCTAACGACAGCATTGCTTACTCGGTTGTCCCACGATATACTCCTATTTCTATGACTTTTGTTTGATATATGTATGCGATGGGATCGAACTCCGCGTTAAGAAATGGTGAAATTAGTCTAGTACATTTAGTATATGATACTTCATGAAACTTATGAACAATTCATTGCCATCAAACGCTACTGTAGAGAAGAAAGAGTCTAGGCAACATATCATTCATTTCTTTCTAAATCGTCTGAGTGAAATTTCTACTGGATCTTTTGGGGATGTTAGATCCCCAGAACTCGCTTGATAAGGTATATTAATTTTGGATTCTGTTCATCGGCTGATCAGTTGACCTTGAGATCACATTTCCCACTAGGATAATCCTCGGCTGTGATTGGTTACTGTGTGATTTAAGTGTGCTATCTTGTGACTATTCCAAGGACGTCTCTGTGACGGATAAATAAACAAGATTTGTGTGCTTGGATTCATTGTGTACCGGCTGGATGTTTGTAGAATATACTTTCTGCGCTATATCAAGACTTCTCGTTAGTATTTTTGGGTCAATGGAACAGAGTAGCCTACCTGGACTCTGGTTTATTGTCTCGTTCTCGTTTATTGACTAAGGTGAACCCGTAATAGTTTTAAGTATACCTAGTGAGAAGTGTAACACCATCAAACACTACTGTAGAGAGGAGTCTAGCTGACATATCATTTCTTTCTAAATCATCTGTGTGCAATTTCATATCATTCAAATGATCAATATATTGATTACAGTTGAAATCACGAATGAATCATTTTAAGAACACTATTAAAAACTTGGAAGCAATGAACAACAGCCGTTACGTCCTAGTATGGGACTTATCAACAGTCTTAACCACATTCATTTTTGTAAAAAACTGAACTTCATGATTTCCAGTCATGATATTTATTCACGAATATTACTATTCATATATGGAAAACAGTTGATTCAATCAATTCTCTCATGCAAAAATAGGATTGTTCAACTTTGATTAATAAAATTCATCTCCACTGGAATATTTATTTTCTAGGGTTTCTATCGATTCGAACACATTACCTCTAAACCGCTGAGCCAGTGTCCAACAGTGTAAACAACTTTGATCACTTAACTTCTTTCAACCCATGGTCTTACATATCCCAACTAGGTAGTAGTATAACACCCACCTACTTACTAGCTTGACTCAATTCAAGTTATAAGTGATTTCATAGGCTGTTGCAAAGTCTTGGTTGAATAAAGAGTTTTAGAAAAATAATTGTTTTTTTAAAAGTGAATCCTTAATAAATGAACTAACTGATCGCTGTCATTTCTTTTTATTTAAGTTGAAGTCTATATAAAACCATTTAAAGCTTCCATGATGATATTATTGCATAGTATCATAAAATTGTTAGGATATTTATCCAATATCCTATGAGAATTATTGGTCAAATCCTATTGGTCGATTTCTATTGGTCAAAATTATGGTCGTTATAACTGTCAAAGTCAAATACTTCAATGTTGTTTCTTATTGGTTGTCCTGACTATCAATGTCACTTCAAATGTTACTTCCTATTGGTCGTCTTAACAACCAATGCCACAGAATTCGATGCTGTTTCCTATTCGACCAAAATGTAGAAAAACGCATTATCTGTAACATTTTATGACCACGACCAGGACCAGGGCTCGGTCCCGGATCCCTAGTCCGGAATCCTGATTCTCTTCTGGATTCGGACCTCGTACTTTCTGGATGCTTGTAGAATGCACGTTCTACTTCATATCATGTCTTCTTATTTTAACTAAATATGGGGGTTGTAATAATTGGATTTGAGTAATATGTCGTGTCACCGGATATCCGCTCTCGTTTCCGACTAGGTAAACTCGTAATAGTTCAAGTATATCAAGTTGACGTGTTTACGTGCAGACGTAACAAATTGTGAACTTTTGTCAAATATATTATTTCACTCTAGTAGACAGTATTGATTTATAAGATGAAAATGGCAGTAAACCATGTCAAACAAATTACCCATCGCTAATTTGCTAAACAAATTTTATTTCACCTAAAGTATTTTTTTATTCATCTAATTTTTATGAACCGAACCGGCGTCGTCACGAGACAAGTGATCATTTAAAATCCTCAAGGTCAAAGGAAGACAGCTAGAACGAAACACACAAAACACCGAGTACTTAAGACAGACATGAAAAGAATGACCAACGATGGGATAGTACTGGAAAAGTAGATTGGAGAATGTTGCGCGGTGGCCTACGCTCAATTGGGGGTAACAGGCGTAATTAAGTAAGAAGGTAAGTAAGCAAGTAGGTCAGTATGTAAGTAAGTAAGTAAGTAGGTAAGTAAGTAAGTAAACAAGTTAGTTAGTTAGTTATTGCACTAGTAAGTAAGCGAGCAAGTAAGTGAGTAAGAGTGTCAGTAAGTAAGCAAGTGAGTGACTGGGTAAGTAAGTAAGTAAGTTAGTAAGTAAGTAAATAATTAAGTAATTAAGTAAGTAAGTAAGTAGGTGCATAAGTAAATAAGTAAGTAAGTAAGTAAGTGCATAATTAAGTAAGTAAGTGCATAAGTAAGTAAGTAAGTAAATAAGTAAGGTTATTAACTGTGTCCACTCATACCCCGTGTTTTGAGAAAATACACTGTGACAATAAAATATTTTTCATATTTTTATTAGCAATCACTTTTTTATTGTATGTGCTAAAAACACGTCCGTGAAACAACAACTGACTGAATGACTGACTTCCAGTTAATGATAAACATCACACAGAAGACAAAAAAAAAGCACAACACAATTTAGAAGAATTATTATTGTACATGAATGATCAAAGGAATATTTTTCTTTCCCAAGAAAATCGAAATTCCTCTTTTTTTTGGGGGTTGTTTATTCACTCAATCAATGACAACACATCATGTATACTACATACAATACACAGAAAATCCATTTCAAAATGTGTGTACAATTTTTTTCTTATTGAGGAGGAAGGAGATATTGTGTAAGAGAGGGAATTTCCACAATTGACGCATACACATATTAAAGACAACACAACAGAAAACAATCAACACTAACAATAATAATAATAATGATAAAATTATACTGTACAATAAAATGTTGCAGGAATTTTTTTTCAATGACAATAGCAATAATATTCACAGTCATAATAACAGGGTCGTTTCGTTCAATTGAACTCACCGCTCCAAAACCACCACATACATATCTATTACAATCATTATTCACTTGAGCTACACATAATTTATTTCTTCATTCTTGGAAACAATTCTCTAAGGATGTTCGTTCATATAAATGAGATGATTATTTATGAAAGAAAGCTTATTCCATATTCACAAACACACACACACACACAAACACATTTATGGTGATATATATACATATAGACAACAGGTTGCATAATCCTCCCATGTGAGGTAGACGAACAGAAAATGTCAAAAACAAAACAGAGATGAACAAAAATGACTTTTCGTCGGAGAATAGACTAGTAAAAAACAGCAATTGAAATTTGAATAACACTATATTACTACTAATACTACTAATAACAAGAATAATAAAGTAGTTTCTAATCACAATTTGTCTATTTGTTCATTCTTGTTTTCAATAGAACAAAAAATTACAAAATTTTTGTAATGAACAACACGATGTATTGAATCCACGTGTTTGGTTATCGATTTTTTCCGATTGTTCCACAGAATTTCACTATAAAAAACCATACTACTTATAAGGATTATAGTAGTAGTAGTAACAACAACAAGAAAAAAAAACCAAAACTAATCACATTTTTCAAATCATAATGAAAAACTTTTGTACAACAAACAAAACCAATCAAATAAATGATCTTCATTGTTGTTTAAACAAATATAGAATTTGAAAAAAATTCATAGAGTACATCAACAGTGTATGGCTAAGATGAACATGAGAGGGGGATTATTACATACAGTTGGGCAATAAATAAATAATCATTTCCTTAAATTTTCAACTAATCAAGAAAATTGATTTGAAAGTGAAATTTTTTTTTGGGTTAGACTATACAAAACCATCATTATTTCCAAAAAAACAGAACAGAAATTTTGATTTTCTAGTGAGTGTACTACTCTACTGTGTAGTTTTTAATATTAGTTGAATTGATGAATGATTGGTTTGTTCAACAAACAGATTCACATGATTATCGATTTGACCAGAAGGATACTGGATGCGGACAAAATACCTCACGATTGAATTTGTGTTAATTCTGTTTAGTTTTATTTTTCGAGTGTATCATTCTATTAAGCGAGAATATGTTCAGTCTTATGCTGACGTATGTAGTAAGTAGTATAGTAGTAATGTGTTGAAGTGAATTGTAAACACGTATTCTAATCAGATAGAATATTGGTTTATTTGGATTCAGTCGACGTTAGGACATGTTCTTGTTTTTCTTTGTCAATATTACTAGCCCAATAGGTTGTATTACTTTCTAAATTGTTCATAAGTTCAGGTATTGGAAAAACACCTAGAGAAAATAAAAACAGTGTTTAGAAAATTATCTCAAATTAAAATTTCTATGAGATTACATAATTATTATCTCAATATGAAGTTATGAAGGTCATTGTTAGTTAGTTAAGTTAGTAAGTGTTAGGTTCGTCACTAGGTAGGTATGCTTGAAACTATTACGGATTCACCCGTAATCGATAAACGAGAACGAACTAGCGTCCAGGTAGGCGCTACCTTGATCTGTTGACTCAAAACAGTTAATGAGAAGTCTTGATATGGCATAGAAAGTATATTCTACAAAAACACCCAGCAAGCACAAAGCATTCAAGCACTCAACTCTCGTTTATTTATACATCATAGAAACGTCCTTGGGAGAGTCACAAAAATAGCACACTCAAATACACAGCAACCAATCACAACCAACGATTTTCCTGGTGGGAAATGAAATCTCAAGGTCAACTGACCAGCCCATGCTGCCAAACGTGAAATTCAAAATTAAGGCACTTTATCAAGTGAGTTCTGGGGATCTAAAAGTAAGTCAGTCAGCTTCAACACAAAGCGTCGTACATCAGTTCAAGTTGCCACACTAAATTAGCACACAGACGCAACTGTCAATTCAAATCCCATTGTGGTAGAGATATTACAAGTATTACTTGTAATGGGGAAGAAGATTAGTGTTCGAAGATATTATTCAAGAATTATAATTCAGTGAGATAACTTTAGAAATAGAAAGGTAGAGGTGATGGGGAATTTTCGAAAGTTAGAATTTGACAGAATACAAAGATTAGATGCACCTGCGCCATTGCAAACAATTTTGAGCCATGTCATTCATAGTCTCTAACTATCGGTTAAGATTGTCTCGCCGACCCCACCAATCTGATAGTTTACACATCTACCAACATGACTCAGTCCACTTGTCAGTGACTTCATAGATTTTTGCCATGTGTTGGTTTTGGCCATCGCTAGCTTCCTTTCTTCCAACCTACTCCTACACCACAAAACATAGCTTAACAAGACAGTCGTTGTTTGGAAATTCGGAACACATGCTTCAACCAACTAAACTGATGAAAATTCAGTAATTCATCATTAAATCTTATCCAGACTACAAATGGATTTAATTCAGACAGTTTTTGAACATTTAGAAAACTAGAAATGTAAGCCTTCCTTACGAGTTCAACAGATAAAACAAATAAGGAAATGTTTGATAAAAGAATGGCGTTATTTAATGTTGAAACAATAAAATACGCTAGTTTGGATGACCCAAGTTTATGGATGCAAAGATCAGAGGTTTAAAAATATGCAATTCAATGTGTTAAATTTGATCGAATATGATAACTGATTTTTTCAACTGCAGAAATCCAAACAACTTTCAAC